CTGCTTACTACTACATATCAGCCCTTAGCTATAAATTTCACCTATCACACCATCACAATCCGATAGTTTAGCCAATTTCCAAAGCTCAAGAAACCTTCGTTAACAATCGACGGAAGGGACGGATAAGGGGTACTAGAACGCAAGTGTGAGGAAAGGCCGCACAGGCGCTGTCTCGTAGATGGGAAGAACGGGAAGAACTACACATAATATATATTGACCAGTTTTGCTCCGCCCGCTCTCGCGCGCATGTCAACATAGGCTTCATTGAAACTGAGCATAGCCGGGCTATTGTATTGAGTAACATACTGCTTTCAATGGATTTGACTGATGGTATTAAGGAAATCAGATGATAAAGCAGTAATTTCTCATAGTTCTTCAATACCAATAAACATCCATCATTTTTCTGGAACTAACAAAGTCTAGCAGCCGAATGACCTTTGGATAACTAATACAATTACTTGGGCTGCTTATTATCAGCCCTCAGCGTAAACATCTACCATGCTTTGGATATTGGGTTTAGCGGTCGAATAACTTCTTATGCCGGTGATGAGATAGAAATACCAATAGTTATCGTATTTCCACAGACGCCGACCATTTAAGAAGCTCGGGCAGATTAGCGGTCGAATGGATCACGACGACATCGCGAAGAAATGTTTTCTTATCCACATCTGGATAAGAACTTCAGTGACATTTCCTTCCAACGCTTCTTATCAGCCCCTATCAGCTGTTATCACTTTCTGGTCCCATCAAATATGTTCCCGTCCCACCCCCTATATCATATCTGCAAAACAACGCCTCATGCTGCTGGGCCTTGCGCTGTCAATTGTCGTGACATTTGCTTCCAACGCTTCTTATCAGCCCCTATCAGCTGTTATCACTTTCTGGTCCCCACCAAATATGTTCCCGTCCCACCCCCTATATCATATCCCAAAATCAACTCCTGACGACTGCTGGTACGCGCGCTATGAATTTCGTGACACACACACACACACACCACACACACACGCACAGACATACTTAGCGCTTTATATATAGTAAGATCGTGTAATAAATTAGGAATTCACATTAACATAAGAGCATTATATATAGAGAGTCCAAAGATCCGAGCGTCAAAATCCATAAATTCATTGTGGAAAGCTTAGCGGTCTGCCATAAGTGTGACTGAAACGTTCCCTTCTTCAATTCATCACAACTTTCGACACTCTGTTAGAGCACAAAATCACTGAGGCGAATGTTCCGTGAAGTGCTTAATAGCCGCTCCTACAACATTTAGAAGTACCTTCATTTATAATATCAACAAGCAGCAGATGAAAAATGCAGATGGTTGCTGATCCGCCGAACGGCTTCAGTGAAGCTCTTCGTGTGCTATCACTTTCAACACTTACGGTCGGGATAGAATCGCTTTGCCTATTGCAGATTATTCGACCGTAGAACTTCCCCTTCAGGAGGAAGGCAAATGAAGGGCGTCGCTTCACTGAAGCCGTTTGGCGAATCAGCGACATACCCAGATACTTGGTATAGACGTAGTAAAGGCTCGGTCCGAGTCCCACTTCGAAAAAAATCAAAGTGCTTCAAGCAGGGGAGTGCTCCAGCTCACGAAGGCCAGTTCGTGCAGTATTGGTCTCGGTTTCAATACCCGACATCGCTAGTGCCTAAGAACGGCCATCTTTTTTATCAGGTCCACTCCACCTCAATCTTCATTGTGGTTATTGACTAGAAATGAGGTCTGTTGAGTTCGTCGCCCTAGTTTTGAGCCACTGAAAGCAGCAAAGAACAAAATTTTGGAAGGACTCGAAGAGGAATGTTTGCTTGCTACATGCGGGAAGTCCAACAACCAACCCAAAGCTTCCATTCATAGCAGTCGAAGATCTCGAAATCTTGTTATTACACATTACTGTGCATGATGCGAATATATGAATTCAACAAGCATACAAGCATACTCCTTCTGAAAATTCAAAATTCTGCTGCGAAGGAGAGCCTAATTTTGAGGTATTGTGTAAAACCGTTCACACACTTAGAGTTGATTTAATGTTTCAGAAATCTTAAAGGAATGACCAAGGTATGATCAATAGTTTCAGGCAGAAACAAAGCCACCGGCGCAAGAGGCCTCCACCACCACCACCGCCACCACCTCCACCACCAAAGCCGGGAAAGTATCAATACAAAAAGTCGACAACTTACCAAAAATCGTATGCGTACGCTAGAAAGTGAATAAACTTAGCTTCTACTGATTGGTGTTCACCGAGTCCACTTTTGATGGACTATTAAGTTTGTGATAGAGGTCTCGTATTGCTTGCATGAAATGGAGCGATACGCGATTCAAGACCGAGGCAGTAGCTTCAATCACTCTATATGAACCAAATTTGCTGTTGTCGGTTCGTCGGTGTGTGTATGTGCCGTTCTGTCCGTCCGGAACCAACCCCAAAAACTAGGGAGATCGGAGGGCTACGCTGCGTGATGGTGATTTCATGATTATGATAACACCAACAGCGGCTATTCAAACACCGATCGAGTACACTGAAGCCTCATTCTACGTGGTGCTGACGTGGTAGATAGAGGGAAGGGTAACAAGGAGGGGAGAGGGAGGGGGAGAGCTACCGCCTGCATTCAAAAGTAAGGTTTCTATCCGTGTTGATATATTACTCTAATTTGGTGTCGCGTTTGCGATAACACCCACAATGGGTACATAAACACTACTCGAGCTCAATCGGCCTCATTCTGCATACAAGGAGCTGCCGCGACAGCTGGAAGGAAGTGCAGAAAGGGTAGGGGAGGGCAATAGGGAGGCGGAGACCAATCGCTTCTAACAGTAAGATTGTTCATATCCGTGATGGGGTGTTATTCTAGATATATCGTTACTGTTTCCTTTATTTATTATATGACGTTGTTCAGAAAATAAAAAAATGTGTGAGGTTGTTCACCTTCCGAATTTCGAATCTGTATGATCTGAATGAACCAAAAACATTTTTACTGCAGAGATTTTCAATAAATACTAGAAAAATATCTTTGTTTGATAATATCTTGGATGTGACCCAACAAACCTCACTGAAAGTATTCTCGCAATGCCGAGATTCATTGAGAGTCGAACGTGGACACTACATACCAACTACTTTTTGTGTAGGCTATCTACTGCGCAAATATCTGGTTATGAAAATTGTTGTCGTAACCAGATATTTATCGCATTGAAAAAAAGCCACTCTATGCAATCCTATTGGGCATATGCGGGACTCCGGGAATCTTGAATATCTGTCGAATTTAATATACATGTCACTGGAACGTAAGGAAGTTATTTGACGGTGAACATCGCGTGCCACTGGCCTGCTAATCGTTGCGTCCGGAATGAATTAGCAATCGCCGATGGAGCTACTGGAATCCAGCCATAACAGCTTCTCGTTTCGCCTTCGCTTACCTTCCATCGTCGTTGAATCCTACATTGCAGATAATGCTCTGTATATCAAATGAATTTTCTAAGAAGCTATGGGTTTCCAATCACTAGCCCACTTTGTTCAAAAGTACAGAGTAATTTCTTGAGCAGTGGCGGCGGTTTCTCTCTTAGTGAATCTCCCAGCAGGAATCTTCTGCTGTCGTTTGTACAGAAAGTTATAGTAAAGTATCGTGTTCTCCTTGAGCATGCCGAAGAATTTCGAGGAAATACCCATTTGAGGGCGGAAGTGGTGTAGTGGCAAGTGGCACGCTTACCACGCGAGCGGTCCGGGGATCAAATCCTGGGTCGTGAGTCGCCCGGGCCAACCAAGCCTTCCATCCCTCCGGGGTCGGTTAATTGGTACCAGACTTGTCTGGGAGGATAAAAACACTGACTTGTACATCGGCTGGCCCCCGCAAGTCATTGTATAGGCCACATCGCATTCAAACGCCACTACGAATGTACAAATGGAAGTAGAATGCGTGCCGCATCCCAAAAAGGGATTGATCAACGGCAAATGCTTTATCCTTTTACTTACCCGGTTTGGGCTGTACCAAACTGAAAGTGGAGACAGAAAAGCGACAGGTCTCAATGAAACACTCAGTGTTTATTTTGCACACTACATACCAACGTAACAAACTAACCACCAGCCGATATGACCTGCCTCGGCGCTACTCATGACCGCTTGGAGGACACCTTCAGGCAAAAGCACGCGAAGAGCTTCGGTAGCAAGTAAACGAAATAAGCAGCACGGTTTCTGTGCACTTTTTGTGAGTTTCAGTTGTAGCTGACTGAAAAAACAGATTTCCTTCCTCAGTACACGCTGCAGTAAGTAACTTACGTGCTCTCCTCCTATTGCATAGGATGTATGAAAAAAATTCAATTCAAAAAACATGACAACAAAGAATTAAAGGGTAACTGCAGCTCGAAATGTGCATGCATCCTCAGGAACTCCTTGTTGCATTCATAAAGTATCCCGCATTGATTCAACGAGCTACCAACAGAGCCTGTTTCCTTGGCATTCGAACAAGTTCAAAAGTTAGTTGCGACATTTCGCTGATGATACAACAACGGCAACCGACAGCCCACACGCAGACCATCTTGCATTCAGGAGCCTTCCTTTCTCGAATGGCAGCGGCTGTTGAGGAAGGAAAAAATGATGTGGCGGCTCAGAATGCCACGAGTTTTCAAAGAATCGTACGCATGACGATGGTAAGTTTTGAATCTTTGTACTGTATAGAACGCGAAAATTGAAAAAGCTTCCCACCAGAAAGCGTGCCTAGAATTTCCTAGATCATGACCTCTGACTGGACTCATAATCTTTCGGGCAAAATCAAGGTAGCGTCCGGGCCCGAACTCCACGAAGAAGATCCGTATTGTGCAAACAAGTGAAGTTAGGTACTAACTGCGGAGGTTATGCCTTTTTCGCTCTTCGGCCCTTCGCCCACGCACGCCACAAAGAATTTATGAGTGAGGACTTGGACCTCCTCCGCTCGAAGGGACCAGTGCCTGCCCACAGTTTGATGTCTTATCTGTGCCGTATGTTTCTCTGCTATAGCTATAGATCCTTCCCCTCACCGTGATTCACATTTTCCTTCATGTGACTGCCGGTATCATACAGTTAGAGTTCTCTGCAGCGTAAAGCAAAGAGGTTTCTATCGTTGGTTGTTTTCACAACTTCGTTCCCTCTTTTCCCCACGTGCGGTTCGCTTCGTATTCCTTCCAATAATGTTTGTCGTAACGGGATCTTCATCATCTTTAACCCTACCTGTCAACCTTTGCTGCCGGTACCGGTATAAATTTGCCAAGCAGATTCTCTCCCGGCAGTGGTCGAGCTTGTGGTCATCATCGGCTCAAATATGAGAATTGGTTGTTACTTGGTTGCCAGTGCCATGGAAATTGAGAGATAAGTCCACATTCAGCATTAAATAACGTTGAATGGGGCGGGCATTTCTGCTTCCAAACGTTTCGCAACTTTACCTCTTTACAGTCGATCATTAGCAGACTAAGAACCCACAATCCGACCTTCACATTGCGAGCTCCACTACATTTGAGCGGCTCTTTCGAATTTTGGTTTTCATATCAGACTTTGGTTTCCCTATCTCAGGTTATAGCTGGCGTTTTGATATGAAAGTTCCCTAGAGCCTTTGGGTCCCCCTAAGCAAATGGCTTCACTGTTTATTCTTCATTTCCTTTTCTCAGGTAATAAAGCGCTGGATAAAGCTCAAGAAAGAGGAGGAAAGGAAAAAAGAAGGCAACGTAGACGACGATAACGTCAGACTAGTGTTTGGATACGCCTCGCACTCGTCGGCTGTCGCAGTCAAGGAGAAATGGCAACAGTGGGTTTTGAGGCATGCTGCTTCCCAACTGGTCGTATTTTGCTTCATTCAGAAAAGTTCTGTATTGGTCGCTGGACGACACGAGTCTGACCTTTTATTTGTGGACAGCAGTAGTATTCATCGGCTGTTTCTACAATCTTATCACCATTGTCGCCATGGTATTTGAAGAAGTCCAGAGAAGTTTTTATGAAACATGGCTCATGCTCAACAAAGTCTTCGACGCTATTTTCCTACTTGATCTTTTTATTCTTACCAGAAGAGGTAAGTATG